GTGTGAGTTCTGTTCAATGGCAAATACACCGAAATTCCTTTATAATGATGTCTAAACCCTCTCCTCTACTGTCTGTCGTTGTTTGTTTTCTTGGACATGACCCATTCCACGACATGTATAGACCCACTTAATAATAGCTGTAGCTATGCTAAAGCTGCCATTTATCAAGCTGCCGTTATTAACGTTCTGTGTGGCAGACATAGATTAGTAGGCTTTTTACCTACCTTATGTTTTTGCTTTCAATGCTCAACAGAACCCCATGAAGCAGGTTTTGAAACAGGCTCACAAAGAGGAAGAAATCAGCCCGAGAACCCACACTAATAAATGCTTCAGAGCACCTAGATGCAGTTCCTATCTTCTGGACTCCAGAGCCTCAGGTCCTTCCAGCACGCTCTTGGCTGTTCTTATCAGTCACTGAAGGAATCATTATGAGTACTCTCAACTGACCCCCAAATCTATAATTTTTAATAATTTTATAATTTTTAATTCTATATTTTTATAATTTTATAAATATATATTTATAATATAATTTTGTAATTTTTAATACTACTTTAATGTTTCCAACGGTCCCTTTGTGGCCTTGAAAAGTTCCTATGTATTTTGGAATTAGCCAAGCCTTGTGTCAGTACAGCCCGCTTCAAGCCACATTCCATGACTCTTGGCTTCTGTTCCCTGGTCACACAGTAGAGCTGTCCTATGCCACATCCCAGCACCAGCGACATGATGAGACTCTCCTGTGTCTAGGACCAGTGAGTAGCTTCAGATCAGAGAGAATCTGGTTAAGTAGCAAACTTGAGTTCTTTGAATCATTTACATCGTACAGATTGGCTGTTATTTAGAGCAAATCACTTTGCATACTTGTTTCCAATTTACCTTTCGTGAACCTGGTGAAGAGGCAAAATAAAATTAAAAATATTGGCTTGAATTTTGTGCCACTATCCCTGAATAATTTCTCCATGTGTATAGATATTCACCCTTGACTTTTATCATTCCCCGGGGAGAAGGCAAGCTGTATGGCTCAGTCTGCTGGTAAGATTCTGATCTCTAGACTAGAAGGGGTAACAGGCACTGTGAACAGTGATAAGGAATACGATGCCACCTTGAAAGTCCATACCTGTTCTCCAGAATTCTACTCTCGAATCAAGCCCTGTGGATCCTCAGAGGACCTGGGGTTGACTCCTTGGTGGTCTCTAATTCAGGCTTAGAAAACACAAAACAAAACATAGTCCTGTTTCTCGTGAAATATGTAAGGGCCTTAGAAAGGATTCTTGGTCCCAAGACAACTGGAGAATGAAAAATACTTGAAACTCATGGCCTTTCTGAGACTTGAAGGAAGGAAATAAGCCCAAGTCAGAAGGGCCCTAAGTCAGTAGACAAGTGTAGTAGGTCCACTGTATCACCCAAGGATGACCTTAACAGAAGACTTTTGGGACTACCCTTCCGCTGCTTTCATCACAGTGTCCCTGTTCCTTTGCTCAGAATACCTTCTCGTCGGCTCTATACTTACCTGTATAATTCAGCCCTTGCTGCTGGCCAGGCATGGGGCATCAGACCTGCTGTTCCCAAGGGATCCTGATGTGGAGCTGAGGCTTCCATGGGGTCCTTAGCTGATGTTCTACCTGTAGGAGGGACTAGGTTCCAGCCACTTCTGAGAATCCAGGAGCCCCAAACCCACCCTCAAAAGTCCTCTGGGACCTCCGTGTCACTACCGAAGGGTGAGTGCAAGCCATTTCAGGACAGATCAGCAGGCCACACTACCTTGCGCCAGCCTTTCTTGAGCTACTTAAGCCTCCATGTCTGTAGCAGGATAGTTTTGTCTTCCTGACATGCTGAGAGATTAACCTTACACACCGTGTTGTCAGCTGACCAGTGCAAAGTCTGGGGAATACAGGGTATTTATTCAAACCCTTGGAATAAAAGTGATATATCCCCAAATTTCTTGCCTTTAAAAGGTCACCTTAGCTTTCATTTGGTCATTTATGCATTCATTCAGTGATTCATTTGTTAATTCATTCAATACACACTGAATACCGACTCTAACCAGGCAGCCTCAGGGGGAATAAGGAAAATACTGAACCATATCCTCTTGTAATACATTCCTCCAAAAACTGTGATTTTTCTCTAATATATAACTTACTATTGTTAAGTCAGACTTACTCCTATTAAGTTTTTAGGAATTAAAATAAAGATGTCATGTCATAGAAATCAATGTTGAGGAATTAGCTAATTCATTTCCACATTAAAAAAAATAATTAGTAATTAGCCTGGCATTGAGGTTTTTGCAAGTTCTGTGACATTCTGACGTTTATACAATTATTATGATACTTCTCTATGGCATCAATTACACTGTAATAGGCCCCTGGCAAATAACCATATCGTGACTTCTAATGTAAAGAACAGAAACTACCAGGTAACCTTATGTTGTTAAAATCCCTGATCCACGTAACTACCCGTTACCATTTAGGTTGTGGAATCCGTGGTTTTGGTACATAAGTGCATGGATTAAATAACATTAATGTGTAATTACATGAAAATAAACAAGGTAGCTTTGTTAAATTGCAGTACAATTGTTATCGCTGAATGTAAAGTGATACCAATTAAACCTTCCTTTAGAACACCACAAATTAAGATTTAACTACTGGAGAAATGCATGTAAAGCTATGGTATGCCATGGATAGAATATCCCTGAGTACTTTCTGAGGTTTTATAGCATTTATAAAATTAAAAACATCTTTTCCCTTTATCCCTGGCATTAACTGTATGTTACTTAGTGAAGTTTCAAACAGACACCGTTTAATTCTTAAAAGATAAGCATCAACAAGTTCAGCCTTTGAAGTGTTGACGAAAAGACAAATTATGATTTCTTGTGTTCATATAGAGTAAATATTTTAGTGGGATAGGCATTAGCATGGGATTTCGGATGAGGAAAGACCTGATACCGAAGCTAATGTTAATTCTTAAATTATGAAATTTCGTTGATCAAAAACCACTGGGTGTTGGCAACTTGGTATCATTCAGCCTCATAAAATAGTAGCAGTTAAACTGCTTCTAAGTCACAGCGTATATCCATCCCTCATATATCCTGAGCTGTTTACCAGCTGAGTCAAAGTTACTTAAATTCTGAGCCTCAGTTTTCTCTTCAGGAACACAGGATAACGTAGCTACACACAGGACTGTCATTGAGGATTAAGTGAGGACGACATAGTCAAAGGACCCAGTACAGCGCTTTTTACAAAACCAGCATTAATAAAAGTGCTTCCTCTCCCACTTCCCCACTTCAAATCTTTTGTGCTTCTTCTTAAATCAATACTTGTCCCGGGAACTGTTGGTTTAGATCCATAGACTAAAGGTCTAAAATATATCAAGCAAATGAGAATTTAATCAAACTTACAATTTTGACACTGAGCCCTAATGGGCTTTTCAGACAAGAGATCTAAACTATAAACAGGAAGAGCTGGTAACTGATGTTTGAACTTTCAGAGCTGGTGATTTCTTAGCAGAACTTTCGATGTCCAAGAAAACTTATCTGCAAAGATGAATCAAAGCTTGCCTTCACCTACCCCTAGTTTCTAACCCGCGCGTGCCTCTACGTGACCAGGTCTGAATTCCAGATGTTCCCAGTAGCGCTTCATTTCATTGTGCCTTCTGACAGCACCTAAACAAATATATTAAAACTTGTACAACATTTAGCAAGTGCAACTCGAAGATTTTCTTTCTGTTAGACAAATAGACGCCATCTGGAAAAAATAACCCCAGGCGCTTGGACGCAGGAGCATGAAGCTTATTGGCTGAACACCCAATGAATACCTTACATTACTTTCTTTGGCTCCTACCCTCTGCCTGCTCATTGCAAATCTTGCACACTTCAGCAGGGTCTGTGCTGTTAGACGAGAAAGTCCTGTTACTCGTGTACTCAAACACTATGAAGACATGCCTAATTTGAAAGATAAGCTTGCAAGAATGAACCGGACCCAGATCGTTTCCTTTTTATTGTAACACCTGCTGCATAAAGGACTACTAGATATCACTCTGCCTTGATATTAATTGGAAACAATATTTTATTGTTCAGTCCCCCCTCATATTTTCAATGTTTACCGCATTCCGTTTGGAACGGGAGTGTCCTCATATAACTTTCCTTCCTTTGTCTTTCCTTTCCCTCCCTGTCTCTTTTCTCTAAAGCTGCTTTCCAAAGGGAAAAGCCCCACATATGTTGTTATTTGCCTTACTGATTGACTTTTATTCCTAAATTCATATTATAACAATGTTAGTGTGATTTTGCCTTTCAAATTAGCTGAAAGGAAACTGAATGACTGTAATATTAGTTATCAGCTTTTAGAGGAAAGCCAAATAGATGGGAATTGTCAGAAATCAAGAGAACAATCTTCACTTTATTTTGATGGTATAATCTTCGTGGGAAAAAAAATAGCTTTTAAAGGCTTTTTTTCCCCATATCAAACTTTCTATGCAACCACACTTAGGCGACATGCTTAACTTACTTGTTTGCTAATTATTTTTCTTTTGCCCGTTGTAAACATGCCGCTTTTCAGAACTCTAAAGTGATTTCCCCAGAACTTCTGGAATTCATTTTATGACGTCTCATGACCTGAGCGGTGGGGGGTCCTATGAAACATGTTTGATTACACATTAATTTTATAAATTGCCTTCCTTCCCCCCCAATTCCCATGAAAAAGGTATTCAGTTAGATTAAAACTCTGGAAAATTTCAATGGGACCTTTGAAATCAATGTTTGAGTTCAGTTTCTTGGAAAAATAAAACTGCCTGATGGAAGTACTCTTTCTACAAGAAGTGCATATGCCTTTGAGGCATTTTTTTTTCCATGAATAATAGTGAAATGACAGCAGGGTAATCTGCATGTTTGAAATGTCTTGGCCAAATCCAGGATGCTGCTTGTAATAAGATCTGAGGGCTCATGTGTATTTGTTCATGGTGATGAAGAAGATGGGAGTGATAATTTGCAATGATGTCGTTTGTCTTTTCAGTCTTACCCTGGTCCAAGTCTGGAAAGTGAAGACTTCAACATTCCACCAATCACTCCCCCCTCCCTCCCTGACCACTCACTGGTGCACGTGAATGAGGTCGAACCCGGTTACCACTCTCTGTGTCACCCAATGAACCATAATGGCCTGCTACCATTTCATCCACAAAACATGGACCTACCTGAAATCACCGTCTCCAATTTGCTGGGACAGGATGGAGCACTGCTTACTAACTCCATTTCTGTGGTAAGAATCTGCTTACCAATTTGTGGCGGGGGGGTGCGGTGGGGGGGGGGTGGGGAGTGAGGGACGTAGTGAGGGTAAGCTCGACTCTAACGCAAGAAGCTTTAAATTGGGGTAACACAGGATTCTGAAACTAAGCATGAGTTTTTAGCTATGGAGAATGTTCTCCATAGATTCCTAAAGCCATTTTCCATTTTATATTTAATTCAGGGAAAAAAAATCAATGAATTACATGTTTGATCACTTATATTTATAAGCCAAACTTCTAAATACTATTTGACACTGAATGCCCTGTCATAAAGTTGACAGACTTCTCATCGCAAGGCAGATCCTCACATCTTCTGACCAGGGACTTCTTTTAAACTGGATTTCACTTTATAGAAAGCAAGAAAACAATTTTCCTTTTTTATTTTGGAGGTACAATTCTAGTGATTAAAATTTATCTCCCTCAAAGTGTTTCAATCTATTGGCCCCATTGGCCCTATGAATCTTCAAATGTTCTGTAGTTCTCAAAGTTAGTAGGAATGTGTCTCCCCCAGAAAACTAGCAAAAAGTACATTTCCAGCCTCTACCCAGAAGTCCAGGGATCTGGATTTTTAACAGGCAGCCCATGTTTGAGAAACACTAGCTTATCATAAAATCGTTCCTTCTGATTTTTACGTGATCTTAAACCTTAATAACTTCTCTGTCTATATCTCGAGTAGTGAAAAATATTTTCAGTGGTATATTATATGGCCAAGGACAGAGCTCTTTACCAGGTCCTCAAACTCTCCCTGAGGTTAACATTGACTTTTAATTAGCACTCTTTGGTTTCTGTTGTTCAATCACTTAACAGTACAAGTAACTCAATTGTCATTTGGGTAAGTCACTGAACAGTGCTGTCATGTTCACAATGAATAAATTGATGAATTTGCTCATATTATATTGTTTCTGATAGGCAGCATTCTTATTATCACTTATCTAAATCATCTGGGGATGTAGCTTTAACTTGAGTGGCTTCGCAAGGTTTTTCTGTTAATCACGAATGTGAAGGGTGGGGGTTGGCAGGCCGTGGGGGTGGGGGAAGAGTCAAAAGAAACCGTGCAGTAGTTTTTGGAGAATGAATCCCAGAGCCTAATGCCATGATAGTGTCTAGATTCTTCTAAGAACTGGCAGCTAGCCCAGTAGCCAAGAGAGGGGAACTCATTCACAGCCCTAATAGTGGCAGAAAACTGCTATCCTCCGTTTTTTAGATTATCTGTTACCTATATAGATTTGTCCTACGAGTACGAGTATTAACTCTGGCTTGATGAAATATAAAATGGATTTTAAACAAATATGCTAAATTTGTAAATCTGAATAATGTACTTCAAAGTGGTCACCTTGAAAAGTCTCATGTCTATTCCTCTTTGGGGTGAGGCCTTCAGACCCAGTTCATGAGTCAGTCAAGTGTCCCAGGGGTTGCTTTTCTAGGCATCAGCTATTCATTAAGAAGGAGAAGAAGAATGCATACAGTATATACAGTACCCGGTCAGTCCTCGGAGCTTTCTCAGGGTGGAGGGAGTGGGGCCATAGAAGGGGTGATGAGACGTAATTTAAGTCTCAAAACCCTTTTTCCTTTATATCATTTGCCTTCTTAGCGTTCCTAGGACTGCCTCGATATACCATTCACTCATTAAGAGACACTTCTTGGTATATATGTGCATACATAGGTTGTACATAACATACGTACATACGTGCGTATATTCTCAGTATATATGTATCGAGGATTTCTCCAGAGTGGCCATAATGGCAATCACACTATCCTTAAATGGCATGCTCAGAACTGGACCTGATCACAGCATGAAATACACCACTTTCCAGGCCCTTCCTCCACTGTGCTTTTGTCTTACTCTATCAGGAACCTCACCTCATCCAAATGTCTTTATGCTTTCTTCACCCAACACAATGTCAAAAACAGGACTTTAGGTATTTTCCCTTCAAAGTGGTATTTCCTTTGGAACTTTTAGCACTGTAGAAAGCAGAGGGGCCCTGTTGGCCTAACCTAAGGGGATAAAGCTCTAACGTGCCATTCCGGTTCTTGGCAGGGTGCCATCTAGCAGGATCTTTCATAGAATGGTGAGCCTTCCTGATACCTCCCAGACCACATTCTGAGGTGGACATCCACTTTGCCTACTCTCAGTACTGGCCCTACCATTTTATGCTGTTACGTAAAATGCTGCTCCAACAAATAATCCAAAACTTGGTGAGGCTTTGGATGGGCTTTAGCACTGTCCGATAGAACTTGCTGTGATGATGGCTTTTCTGTTATTCATACTGTCCAATAGCAGTGTTCATTGGCTAGTAGGCACTTTAAATGTGGCTGAGTGACTGAAGAACTAATTTTTATTTTATTACATTTGAATTATTTTACATTTAAGGTAGCCACACGTTCCTATTGGCTACTCTATTGGATAGCTTAGGTCTAGTTAATGTTGATTCTAACATCAAATCTATATTAAACCCATTTTTAAGCCAATGTGGTCTTGGAGAAAGTAGCTTTGGAAATTAAATTTGCTGTATGAATCATCTTTCAAGAGTTGGATCTTTGGCTGGAGTCCAGGAGCCAGAGTCTGATATAGTCTATAGTTGCAGTAGAAATCTAATAAAGTGGGAAGGGCTGACTTTATAGGAGTCTACTAATTCCTCTGAGAAAGAAGGAGCCTCTTCAATACTTATTTTGAGCTAACATGTGTCTAGAATGCCATTCATCAGCATGTACATTTTAAATGCTTACCATGATCTAAATGTTTCAAAGTGCTCAAATGATCGATATGTTTTAAGCTGGAAGATTTGGCCAAAGACTTCAAAAACCAAGCAAAGGACCATGGGTTTGATATGATGGATTCATAAAAAACATTGGCTGCTTTCACTCAGGGTGAAAGCAATATGAAAGCAGTATCATGGGAAAATCCTTCTGGCATCTTCCTGGATGGATAGCGGTGGTAAGAAACGAGTTGTGCAAAGTCCATGGAGCCTGTTGTCATAACTCAGGCAAGAGGTGTTGAGGAGATATAGAGGGCGGTGACAGTGAGAACAGAAAGATGGGCTACTAAACTGTTCTCACATCATTCCCAAGTACAAACAGATCTGAAAATGAACAAGCCTTCATATAGCCATATTTTATGTTTAAAAAGCTCTCAGGGGTTATTTTCTTTGAAAGGAACTTTAGGACTTACAGAATATTTTCTTCATATTTCTTTGTAAAAACAAACAAACAAAACTCTTTGTAAAACAAACAAACAAATTAAAAATCTTCCCTAAAAATTTTGCTCATGCCTAATGTGATCTCAAAATTGAACAACCGAACTATTGGTCAGTTTGCCAATCGTTGAAATATACTTATGAATAGTGTACAATTCAGGTCATCAATACTCATATCGACAAGGCAGTAATGACTACAGAAATCAAGATGGAAAAGCTGCCCACCTAGAAATTACAGTGTTCTTTCCCAGCCTTTCTGTCAAGGTCACCTTCAATAATAAAAGCTAACACCTGTAGATGCTAAATAATAAACTTGTTGTGATTCTTAAAATCCTATGAGTAAGGACCACCCTAGGCAGACTTATGTATGGGTTCAACTGCCTCCAACTGCATTTTCCAAAAGCTTTACAGAGTTATTAAAGCTGAGCTTTTGTTTTTAGCGTGGTGCTCACATCTTGGTGTTAGTATCTTCACATGACAGAAGTTTAGAATTTGAATGACTCACAGGGGTAGAAATATTTTAGTTCTCATTGAAGCATTACATAGATTATAGAGATTGTAATGTTTAATCTATATGCATTATCATGTCATATGTTATCTTTCATATCAATTGTTATATATAATATGTCTTTCCTGAGATTTCATTTTAAAGATAAATTTTCTAGTATCTGCTTGTTCTTATCCCCAGTGGCAACATAAATGATACAATTTTACTGAATTTAAGCATTTCCTACAAATGTCTAATGTATTAGACATAAAAAAATTTAGTCTATAAATAGAAATCAATGTCTGAATGAGTATTATTATCCCAGTTTCACAATTGGAAAATGGAAGTTTGGAGTGGTTAAGTGACTTGCTCAGGGGCTCAAGCCACTAAATATGCCAGCTTTCTTATCTAAAAAACAAGGAGAAGGGCACCTGAGTGGCTCAGTCAGTTAAGAGTCCAACTCTTGACCTAGGTCCAGGTCATGATCTTGCAGTTTGTGAGTTCAAGCCCCGTGTCGGGCTCTGCACTGTGGCACAGAGCCTGCTTGGGATTCTGTCTCTCCTTCTCTCTGCCCCTCCCGCACTTGTGTTCTCTCTTTATCTCTCTCTCAAAATAAATTTAAAAACTTAAAAAAAAATAAGGATAAAAATAGCCCTTACCTCGTGGGGTTAAATGAACATTCAAGAATCGCTTAGACTGGTTGTTGGCACATAGGAGGCATTATATAAGTTTGTTAAATAAAATGGGAAAAGCAAGCATGTGTGACTCTTTTGGAAGAGTTAAAATGCATAAAACAGAAGATTTTCCCAAAGAGTTATTTATATTTCAATCCTTAATCTTCTTCACAATTGTTGGCCGGCGGGGGGCTGGGGTGGGAGGGTGGGGAACAACAGTAAGCCTGCTATTAACCAAAGAAGGCTTTATCTTTTACTGAGTGTCCTTATATACCAATATCATTTAAACCAACATCTTTGGGCTAGACTTCCTCAGTTCAAATCCAAGCACCGCCACTTACCAGCTATGTGACCTTGAGCAACTTACATAATCTTTCTGTGCCTCAGTTTTCTTATCTATAACATGGGCGTGATGAGATGTTTAATGAAAGAAGTTATCTGTGAAAATATGTGCCTGTCACACAGTAGGTGCTAGATATATTCAGTGGGAATCCCTTTCTGATCAAAAGGTCACCAGGGTAGAATATCGAGATTGCTTCCTGAAATTTATCATAAATAAATCTATATGGAGGCTGAAACATACATGGGGTGAAATTTCTTCCTTGCCACGTTTCCCAGCA